TGTCCCATTAAGTTGTTAACTTCCTCTCTTTCTGTTCTCTTGAGGAAGGCTTGTAATGCTATAAATTTCCCTCTAGAAATGATACATTTTGATCTACCAATATCATAGAGTTTTATGGGGATACAGATACTTTTTTTTTTAGTCATATATAAATATTAGTAACCATTATTATAAAGAAAAAAAGCCTGATGCTCTGATTTGAAGAGATGGGGATTAAAGTTTTAAAATTATTACCACTTTGTCATTGAGATGGCCTATGTTTGGAAACTGAATTATGTGATAATTTGGAAGGAACTAAATGTGGCTTAAAATGAATGGTGATATTCATTCATTCACCAGTAACTTTTAAGGACCCTGTGTGTGTTTGGTACTGTGCTGGGTGCTGGCATAACAAAGCCAAATAAGACACCATAGGAGCCATTCCCCAGGATTGCTCACATTAGTCAAGGAGGGGCCACTGTGCTCTCCCAGCCCAATCTCCTGAGAGGTTTACTAACCACCAAGAATAACGCTGGCAGCCTTCTAGGTGATTTCACTCAGCACCATGTTTTGACAAATGATAATTACCAAGTTAATTTGTGGACTGTCTTTAAATTTTCCATAATCTTTCTTGCTCATGGAAACAAAGATGTCTGCCAGTATACCTAGTGATGTGGAAATGCCCTGTAAGGAAAACACAGACAAATCACAGATTCAGAATTCACAGTCGATTATTGCTCTTGTCTCATGGCTTAAAGGCAGTGATTATCCCCCCCCATGAATTATTTTCCTATTATTATTTTTATTACTATGAGATTGGAGCTACTTTTTGAAAAAGAGCACACGACAATTGTCAATATTTATGGGGTTACAGTGTGATGTTTTGAAACACGTATGCACAAAGGTAATGGAAACCCAGCTATTCCTTAGTTGGGTTTCACTGGATCACCAACACTAACTTGTCCGTACTCCAAGGTCCGAATAACTGGCCCAAGGAGGAGTTTTCACATCACATTCTATTGCAGACAGCAACCCTGCTGACACAGCTTAGGAAAATGTAATTACCTGATGATTCAGATAATGAGGAGAATTATAGAAAATACAAATGTCAAGTAGGAAAACCAACGGTGCATATCAATTTCTTGAATAAAGATGCTACATAAACAATTAATTGAAGTCTTTGCCCATTCAACTCAAGAAACATGATTTTACCCAACTTAGGGTTGGGTGTGGTGGGATTTTAGTCTTTGCCCATTCAACTCAAGAAAAGTGACTATATCCACCTTAGGGCTACAATCTGAGTGGCTGAGCAGAGAGGATCTCTTGGGATCAAGAGTTCAAGAGCAGCTTGAGCAAAGTGGGACCCTGCCTGTACTAAAAACATAAAAATTAGCTGGGTGCCTATAGTCCCAGCTACTCAGGAAGCTGAAGCAGGAAGATTGCTTGAGTTCAGAAGCTTCAGGTTGCTGTGAGCTAGGCTGAGGCCATGGCCCTCTAGCCTGGGTGACAGAGTGAGACTTTGTCTCAAACAAACAAACAAAACAAAACAAAAATAAAAGTAGCTTAGCTATCTCAATTTTGCTATGAAATTAGGTACAGGCTAAATATATAATAAAAAATAGATAAACGCACCAATAGGCAAAAAATATATGCATGGATAATTACAAATGATTATAGAAACACTATACATAGGCCAAGAGTCTAGCTGGGAGCAAGGACAAAGCAAGACACAGAAAGAAGTTGCTAAATGTTCCTGGCCCCATGCTAATCAAACTAGGACAGATGAAATTGATAAATGGTAAACTGATTACATCAAACGGACATAATCATCCAAAGAAAAATACAGGAAAGGAAAAAACAAGCACTAGACAAACAACTTTCTTATCCGGCTGGGGAAGTGTCAGATATCCCACGATGGAAGCCCATATTAACTCTGCTGCTTCGTACCACATCCCTGAGAAAAAAGAAAAGGGAGAGAGGGTCAGAGGAGAAATAGCTAGGATCTGCACTGTTGGGTTAGAAAATACATTTGAAAACAAATACAGAAAGATGATTCGCTGGATCCTGTCAGAAGAATCCAGGGCTAGATTTGGACTGACACCCAGAAATCTGTTTTTTAACTGTTTTAATACCAATAATTTTCCATTTCACTGGAAAATGGTAAGAATTATTATATTTTTTGTGTGCGATATATATTAATGCATATTACATACAAATAGTTATTCCATTATTTATAAGAATAATAATTTCGGGTGGTGCCTGTGGCTCACTGGGTAGGGTGCTGGCCCCATATACCAAGGGTGGTAAGTTCAAACCTGGCCCTGGCCAAAAAACTGCCAAAAAAAAAAAAAAAGGAAAAAAAGAATAACAATTTCGGGCAGTGCCTGTGACTCAGTGGGTAGGGCACCAGCCCCCTATACTGAGGGTGGCGGGTTCAAACTCGGTCCCAGCCAAACTGCAACAAAAAATAACCAGGTGTTGTGGCTGGCGCCTGTAGGCCCAGGTACTGGGGAGGCTGAGGCAAGAGAATCGCCTAAGCCCAGGAGTTGGAGGTTGCCATGAGCTATGTGACACCACGGTACTCTACTGAGGGCGATAAAGTGAGACTTTGTTTCTACAAAAAAAAAAAAAAAGAATAATAATTTCCACTTTCTGTTAAAAATCTCAAACCCTTTAGCCTGAACTGTAAGGTATCATTTATGTTCTATAAACTCAAAAAAATTCACAAGTCCCCTGTGGGATGAACGAGTAAGGTGATGTGGTAGGTTTGGCATAAGATGTCCCTGTGTCACATAGAGTCCTGCTGAATTGAGTCAGATGCTAGGAATAATACTAAAAACCCTATGGTCACCAACTATAATACACAACCGTAAATTTCTCTAACAAAACTCAACAGAAAAAAATATTTTATTAATATTTTAATATTCCTAGAATCTTAAATGTAATTTTCTTTTTTAATGAAGAAACCAAGGTAATTTGGAATTAACAATTTTAGTTGGATATAATAAGAAAATTCCATGGTAAAATCTGGTAGCCAAGTTTTGTTTGTTTGTTTATTTATTTTTAAGACAGAGTCTCACTCTGTAACTCTGGATAGAGTACTGTGGCACAATCATAGCTCATAGCAACTTCAAACTCCTGGGCTCCAGAAATCCTCTCACTTCAGCATCCCAATTAGCTGGGACTATAGGGCCCTCCTCCCCCAATGCCTGGCTGGGTTTTCTATTTTTAGTTGCAATGGGGTCTTGCTCTTGCTCAGGCTGGTATCAAACTCATGAGCTCAAGCAATCACCTGTCTCAGCCTTCCAGAATGCTAGGATTACAGGCATTTGTAAATGAGCCCTGAGAGAAACAGGTGTTAGATGATAGTACCTAGCTTTTGCAGAATCTGCCCTCTGATCTGTACACAGACTGATTGCACCAGGACCTTGTCACTTTCATTTCTGTAAAGCCAGCTACCTAAAATAAAAGAGAGGAAGAATGACCTTAAATTATTAAAGAAATAGCCTGGTACAGTAAAACTACTTCCACTAAAGCATCCAATGAGCACACACAATATCAATTTGAGAAACAATCTCAACTTTTCCTTTAGAATAAGGTCCAAGGTCAAGTCCAGCTATGCAGCTGACTCCTCTCTGGTCCAGCTCTCCCCTTGCAAGCTGCGGCTGTCCACATGGGCATCACCTGTGTTCCTTATAATAGCAGTGGCCTCTTGCTTCGTGGCGTCCCCCTGCCTGGGATACTCCACTTACTGCTCCACCTGCCTGGGATACTCTTTCCTCTGGCTCCCTTTCCTTCTTCAGATCTCAGATTCAGTGCTATTTCCTCAAAGCCCTCCCCAGATTATTTAATTTGTTTAGTTTTGAGACAGAGTCTCACTTTGTCACCCAGCCTAGAGTGCAGTGGTGTCATCAAACCTCACTGAAACTTCAACTCCTGGGCTCAAGTGATCCCCTTGCCTCAGCCAGGTATGGGCCACACTGTCTGGCTAATTTTTCTATTTTTAATAGAGAATGGATCTTGCTCTTGCTCATCCTGGTCTCAAACTCCTGAGCTCAAATGATCCTCCCATCTCAGCCTCCAAGAGTGCTGGGATTATAGGCGTGAACCATCACACCTGGCCTCTAGATTAGTTTATTTACAGTATTACACTCACTATCTTGTGGTTGCCTCAAGAAGGGTAGGGTCAATCTCATCTGCTCCATATTGGTTTGGATGTCAAAACTGATGACATGCATCAAGAGGGTACGAAAAGATTTGTTCACATAATGAGACTTTCTAGGGAGAACAGGGGTGACATCACTGTAGGGCTAGGGTAAAATCTCCTATAAACTGAACTTGGGTAAATAAGCTTTCTTTCTCCTCCTCTTCCTCTTCTTCCTTCCTCCTCCTCCTCCTCCTTCTTCTTCTCCTCTTTTTTATTTAAATAGGTCTGTCCAGTGTGGGAGGGAAAGGGGAAGAGGAGGCCTGGCTCTGAACTCTGTCAGTGGTCAAACATTGTGACCCAACTGTTAGGACTTGCTTCCTTCATGTATGATTGAATATTGAAAGGAAATCTATTTCAAAATAAATATTTGTTTAAGTTCTTATGGTCAAAAATCAAATTTATTTTCCAAGCAATTTAAATACATAAAGCCATAAGCACAATTTTCTGAAATTGGAGGTTTTCATTTCAATCACAATTCTTTTTATAGTTTTTCATTAATACATAATATTTGTGTGTATATATATATGTGTGTGTGTGTGTGTGTGTGTGTGTATATATATATGGGGTACATGTGATATTCTGTTACATACCTAGAATGTGTAATGATGGAGCTGGGATATTTAGGATATCCATCAACTCAAGTATTCATTTTTTCTATATGTTGGGAACATTTCAAGTTCTCTTCTAGCTGTTTTGAATTACAAAACACATTATTGTTAACTATAGCCAACCTACTTTGCTATTCACCATTAGAACGTATTCCTTCTATCTAACTACCTATGTTTGTACCTATTAGCCAACTTCTCTTCATCTCCCTTGCCTCACATCCTTTCCAGCGTTGGGTAACTACCATTCTACTCTCTACCTTCACGTGATCAACTATTTTTTAGCTCTCATTGAGTAAGAACATGAGATATTTGTCTGCACCTGGTTTATTTCACTTTACATGATGACTTCTAGTTCCACCTCTGTTGTTGCAAACGATATGATTTCATCCATTTTTCTGGCCAAATACTATGTTATTGTGTGTATGTATATAATATATACCACATTTTATTTATTCATTCATTCATTAATGGACACTTGGGTTGATTTCGTATCTTTGCTATTGTGAATAATGCTGCAATAAGCCTGGGGGTGCACGTAACCCTTTGGTATATTAATTTCTTTTCCTTTGGATAAATTCCCAGTAGGGGATCTGTTAGTCATTTGTCTGTCTTCTTTTGAAAAATGTCTATTCACATTCTTTGCACATTTTAATGGAATCATATGGTTTTTTTTGCTGTTGAGTTGTTTTAGTTCCTCGTATATTCTGCATATTAGTCCCTGTTAGATGAACAGTTTGCAATTATTTTCTCCTATGCAGTTGTTTCTTTTCTTGTGATTGTTTCCTTTGCTGTGCATAAGCATTTTAGTTTAATAGAGTCCTACTTGTGTACTTCTGGTTTTGCTGCCCATGCTTTTGAGGTCTTAGATACAAAAATCTTTGCCTATAGTAATGTCTTGGAGTGTTTCTTCTATTTTTCATCTAATAGTTTTAAAGTTTCAGGTCTTGTTGAAATCTTTACACCATTTTGAGTTGATTTTTGTATACGGTGAGAGTTGAGAGTCTAGTTTCATTCTTGTAGATATGGATATCCAGTTTTCCCAGCACCATTTATTAAAGAGGGTGTCTTTCCCCCAATATATATGTTCTTGGCATCTTTGTCAAAAATCAGTTAACTCATATGGGTTTACTTCTTGTTCCACTGGTGTATGTGCCTGTTTTAGTTACAGTAGCCCCCGTAGTATATTTTTAAGACAGGCAGCATGATGCATCCAGCTTTGTTCTTCTTGCTCAGGATTGTTTTGGCTATTCAGGCTTTTATTTTTGTTCCACATGAATTCTAGGATTTTTTTTTTTCTATTTCTGTGAAAAATGACATTAGTATTTTAGTAGGAATTTCATTGAATCTGTAGATTGCTTTGAGTAGTATGGTCATTTTAACAGTGTTAATTCTTCCAGTCCATAAGCATGGGATGTCTTTCCATTCGAATCATCTACAATTTTTTTCATCAGTGTTTTGTACTTTTCCTTGTAGAGATCTTTTACCTCCTTGGTTAAATCCCAGGAATTTTATATTCTTTGTAGCTATTGTAAATGAGAGTTCCTTCCTGATTTCTTCTTCTTAAGGTAGTTCATATTGATGTATAAAATGCTACTAATTTTTGTATGCTGATTTTGTATCCTGCAACTTTATTGAATTTGTTTATTAGATCTAAGAGTTTTTTTGGTAGAGTCTTTAGGTTTTCATAATTGTAACATCATTTCATCTACAAAGAGGGACAATCTGGCTTATTCTTTTCCAATTTAGATGCCCTTTATTTCTCTCCTTGCTGGATTGCTCTGGTTAAGATTTCCAGTGCTGTGTTGAATAGGAGTGGTGAAAGTGACGTCCTCATCTTGTTACAGTGTCTAGAGGAAAGGCGTTTCAGCTTTTCCCTGTTCAGTATGTTAGCTGGATTTGTCATGTATGTAGCCTTTTTATGTTGACGTATGTTCCTTATGCACATAAGACTATCTTGTTTAGCGTTTTTGTCCTGAAGGAACTTTTAATTTTATCAAACATTTTCTCTGCATCTATTGAGATGATCTTATAATGTTTTTGTGCTTCATTCCGTCAATGCAATGTAGCATGTCCATGGATTTGTGTTTGTTGAACCATCCTTGTCTGGTTTTAGTATCAGAGTAATGCTGGCCTCATGGGGAGAATTCTCTCTTTTTTAATTTTTTGAAATATTTGGAGGAGAATTAGTATTATTCATAGTTCTTCTTTAAATATTTGGTAAAATTGGGCAGTGAAGCCTGGACTTTTCTTTGTTGGGAGCCTTTTTATTACTGATTCGATCTTGTTATTCATTATTGGTCTGTTCAGGTTTTCTATGAGGAGACTTCAAAGTTCATGGAAAAATAAAATTAAAAGATAAAAATAAGATATAAATTTTATTTCTACGCATAAACTCTATCAAGTTCAAGACACTTTTGTAAATGATAACAATAGACACTTAGTCCATCCCTAAAGAACTGAGAGTCAGGTAGCTCAAGGAGTAGAGCGCCAGCCCCATATATCAGGGGTGGCGGGTTTGAACCTGGCCCCGGCCAAAAACTACAAAAAGAAAAAAGAATTGAGAGTCCTGGGAAATTAGTCATGTCAATGCAGCCTTTTTTATATTATTAACTGAAAAGAAATGGATGCCCTTAAATTCTTTTAACATTAGGGAACACAAAGACATTATAAAGAACCAAATCTGGACTATAAGGCCTAATGATTGATTACCCATTGAAACTCTCATAGAACTGCTGGGGTTTTTCTGTTGTTGTTTGTTTGTTTGTTTTGAAAGAAAGCCTATTTTATTTCAAAAAAAAAGAAAAAAGAAAAAAAAAGAAAAAAAGGTAGGCTCTGGGAACAGGTTTAGTCCATTAAGGCCTTCAGTGTCCTGGTGGTGATTTTGTCCTTCTCAATGATGTGGACAATGACTCCCATGCCTGACACTGCATCCCAGTCCATGGCATTCACCATGGCTTGGGAGATTGTTTCAAACAGGGGTTGTGGATCCATGTTAGGCTCCCAGAGGGACTCACACATCCTGTACATTTGTTCAGCTCAGGTGCTACTGACCACAAAGTCATCAGTCACCATGGGGCAGCCAATGAGGTCTAGAGAGCAAATGAAGGGCTTAAAGGTCTTCAGGTCCAACCCAGCAATGACTGGCTCAGTGTAGTAGGGACCAAATCGTTTTTCATACAAAAGATTGGCCACCATACTCATGAGGGTATGAGGTTTGATCTGCCGACCTTCCTTTAACTCATACAGGTTCAGTCAGAACTTGAGGCACTGGGCAACTATCTGGACATCAGTGGTGAGGCCAGCCAGATGGATGTATGAATGACGGTCACCCATGGGAAAGATCTTCTGGAAGTCCGTGGTCACCATCTGGGCTTGAATCCTGAAGCACCTGTCTACAGCGATGGCCACACAGTTCTTCCCCTCATGGCCATGACAGCCCCTCCATTATAGGACATAATAGACATATTTGTGATGTACTAGGACCCTCAGTCTCTGGTGCATCTCTAGTAAATTGGTTTCAGCCTTCTCTGTGCAACCGCTCTTGCTCAGAAATGCTGTTTGATGAGAGAAATGAGCAGGGGCATTGTAAGGGTGGAGAAGAACTCTCTGATCAAGCTTTCATAGGCATTTTTCTGCCAAAGCTTTGGCTAACTTTCTCAAAATACTTAAAGTATTTTGCAGTTGAATGTAATAATAACATCTGCAGTAATAAGCAGATGTTATTATTCTTTTGCTCTCCCCCTGCCAAAGTCAATAAGCCAAATGTCTTGGGAAACTCCCCAAGTATTGCTATGATCTTTTTATTCTTGACTGGTCCACTTTTATTTTGCTTTGACTGGACCTCTTCTACTTCTTGGTAACCATTGCTTTGATTATGCTTTGTCTTCTGCCATATTTCATCTCCTGTTACAATTCTTCAAGGAAATGTTTCAAAATCTTGACCTTGCTTGTTTAAACCCTCCATGGAAAGCTCTGCCCTTGTCTATACATGATCTGCACGCAATGGTTTGGGCATCCAGACTGGAAAGTTTGCTCAACTTCAATTTCTCAGTCAGAATTGTATAAGCTGAGCCAATTAAGAGGTCTATGGTGCTGGCTATTTTACGTGCTGTTAATCATTGGTCCTCCTCAATTAGGGCATGAGTGAGATTTTTTCTTTGTAAATTGATGCAGGTGCTCTGCTACTGTGGACTTTACCTTCAACGTTATCTTGTCCCTCTCCAATCATAGTTCTTCTAAGTGCTGCTACTGAGTCCTTTCTAAGGCCCATAGAGTTATCTGCCTTGACAATTATTGTCCATTAGATAACATACTTTACAATGAAACAGGCAAATATTAGACACTTTTTGTTTTATTTTTAAGTTAGAGACAAAAGCTGCTTGATTAAAGTCACTTAATTCACCAGTGGCAGAGCCAGTCCCACATAATTCTGGGAACATTCAATGTACAGTAACTACTGAGTCATTAACTGGTTATTAAATTGGAACTCTGGCAAGGAATGAGGATAAAGGTCATTGTGAAGATATGAAAGTACCTACCTGTTGCTCCATTGTTGCTTATTAGACTGCTCAGAATATACTCTGCTTTTAAAAGTTTCCCTGAAAAGAAGAGATCAAATATGACATAATTAGTTCTGAACAAGTACTCTAACTATTACAAGTTGCTTATGTTCTAAGACTGATTATATTACGGTGACCATAATTGCTCTTGGAAACATCTACTCATATATCAGACTGAAAAAGATGACATTTTCGAGAGTAGGTAAGGTGGTAAGTTGCACAGTACTTAAAATGGCAATGAAATTCATAGGTGTGTGAATTTCACAGTGGCTTCCTTATTGTCCTTTAATCAGGCTTGTTCCCTCATCAGGATGTTCATACTTATAATTATTTTAGTCTGTAATGCTTTTACACCAAATATCGAGGCTTGCTTTGCTCCCCTTCAGGTCTTTGCTCAAATGTCACTGTCTCCTAAGGCCTTCCCTGACCACCCTATTTAAAATGATACACATAGACATATAGCCTGGCTGTGATAGACTGTATTTCAAAAAAAGACCATGCTAATACCTTCCATGCCACATACTCTTTTGTAATGTGATCTCGTCACTTCTTCATCAAGTGATGGAATCTAGAGTTTCTCTCCTCGAGCATGTATTGGCCCTGTGACCTGTTTTGGCCCATGGAATGTGGCAGAAATGATACTATAGTACCTTCCTAGTCTGGGCATTAGAAGATCTACAACTTCTACCTTCTCTTTTTGGAGCCCAGCTTAGTGCCTTGGGGAAGCTGAGGCAGCCACATTGGGAGGCCCTCACCTGAGGCCCCAGCTAAGCTGCTAGCTGGCAGCCTTCACTAAATGCTACCCGAATGAGGCCATTTCAGACCTTCTAACTGTCCCACCTTCCCAGCCAACATTACTTAAAATAATTACCTAACTACAAAATTATGAACCATAATAAATTACTACTGTTTTAAGTCACTAAGTCATGGGAAACTTGTAACATAGCAATATGTAATAGAAATGGGGCACTTTATACTCTGGTTTTTCTTCCAATTGAATAAGAAATCAGGCCCTTTAAAAGTAGAGCAATATTTTAACAACATAGAGACTTGAAGGGTGTTGAGTAGACTGAAAAGGCAGGGAGGAAATTGTTAGTGGCTGTTTGAAGAAAGGAATACACATTATATAGTGGTGGAAAGTTTGGAAGGAAGGTCTTCAGGAGTAATGTGCCCCCCCCCATCCACAGTTTCCCTTTCCACTGTTTCAATTATTTGTGTCAACTGCAGTTTGAAAATATTAAATGGAAAATGACAGAAGTAAAATGCTCATGTTTTAAACTGCACATTGTTCTGAGTAGCATGATGCAATCTTGTCCTGCCTGGGATGTGAATCAGCTCTTTGTCCAGCAGATCTACACCGTCTACACTGCCTGCCCATTAATCATTTAGTAGCTGTCTCAATTTTCAGATCGATAGTTGGGCATTGCAGTGCTTGGGTTCAGGTAACCCTTATTACTTAATAATGGCCCCAAAGTACAAGAGTAGTGATGCTGGCAACTGGGGCATCCCAAACAGAGGCCGTAAAGTGCTTCCTTTATGTGACAAGGTGAGTAAGACTTAATGGGGGGAAAAAACCATGTGTTGCTAAGATCTACAGAAAGAACAAATCTACACATAAAACGGGCAGAAGGAGAAAGAAATTTGTGCTAGTTTTGCTATCATAGCTCAAACTGCAAAAGTTATGGCCACAGTGCATGATGAGGGCTTCGTTAAGAAGAAAAAGCATTAAATTTGTGGGCGGAGGACAGGAGCAGAAACATGTTCTGACTGACAGCAATTGGGCTCGGTATTACACCTAGTTCCAGGTATCCACAGAGGGTCTTGGGATGTGTGCATTGAGAATTGGGGGACTACTATTTTGCATTTTAAAGCAAGAGTTAGAGAAAATATAGAAGGCCCAGAATAGTTTTTTGGCCAGCAAGACATTCAGAAAATAAAACCTGAAGGCAAAGATCAAATCCAGAGTAGTGGCAGTAAAATGTGACATTAGGGTCAAGATCACATCAAGAGTGTGACTGTAAAACCCTCTGTTAAGACTCCAGACCCTCCGTGACCAAGCAAAAGCCTTTCCTAAGGGTGCTGTCCCATAGCACCTTAATTTGCAGCCCAAAGTAGAGCTCAAAGATAAATGTAGGCATGGCTTTTTTCTAATTTAATATGCTGAAAAGCTATAAAGCATTAAAAGGAATTATATCAACTTGATCTAAGAAGGGTAGAGATAATGAAATATAAGAGACTTCTGGGAACCCAGCTTTCCATAGGCATAGAGTCGGCTGAGATATTTTTATAAGAAATGTTTTACGGAATAGGAAGGATGACTCAAAGGCAAGTTCAAGTGCTGAGAACTACTCCCACAGAAAAGGAGTGAGCCCTAACCAAGAAACATTCTTTGTCCCCAGAGCAGGATTTTAGACTACTAAGGACACTGCAGTTGCTATGTGACACTCATACCCTTCTCCCCTCCCTTTGGAATAGCAGTGTCTACTGAAGCTATCCTGTCCCTGTATCTCCATTGTCTGCAGTTGGGTTTGTTTTAGGGTAGATTGCTTATCTTTTAGTTCACAAATCTCTGTACCCCAGAAGCAGCACCTGAGTCACATTATTTGTCTCTAAACCTGATTCACAGGTTCCTAAACTTTGAGCCTGATGCCGTCATGACATGAGACTCTAAGAAAGGAGTAAAAGCCTTCGTTTACAGAAAGGATGTGAAGTGTTGTGGGTTATGTTACAGGCTATGATTAAATTGCTTTACACCACTGGGTTTGGGGATAGTTTTTTGTGAAGCAAAGGATAACCAAAACACTGTTATGCTCCCATCCTGGCACAATCTCGGCTTTATTTTTCTCCTTGGCATTTATTGCTATAAGATATACCATGTGTTTTTAATTTTGTTTTACTTATTTATTTATTTTCTTGAGACGGTCTCACTTTGTCACCCTCGATACAGTGCCGTGGCATCATAGCTCACAGCAACCTCAAACTCTTGGGGTCAAGTGATTCTCTTGCCTCAGCCTCCCCAGTAGCTGGGTCTACAGCCACCATAACTCTTGGCTATTTTTTAGAGACAGGGTCTTGCTCTTCATTAGGCTGGTCTCGAACTCCTGAGCTTAAGCAATCAACCC